TCAGTCAGCTCCTTGAGTATTCTAGGATGCATTTCATCAGGCCCTGGTGTCTTGAAGACATCTTACTTGTCTAAGTCATTTTTAACCTGTTCTTTCCCTATTTTAGCCTCTGATCCTACCTCATTTTCACTGGCATTCACTGTGTTAGACATCCAATCACCCCCAAACTTCTTGGTGGGGAAAAAAAAAGTCATTTAACACCTCTGCCATTTTCACATTTTCTGTTATTTCCCCCCCTCCCCCATTGAGTAACAGGCCTAACCTGTCCTTGGTCTTCCTCTTGCTTCTAATTTGTAGAATGTATTTGTAGAATGTTTTCTTGTTACCCTTTATGTCTCTAGCTAGTTTGATCTCATTTTGTGCCTTGGCCTTTCTAATTTTGTCCCTACATACTTGTGTTATGTGTTAGGAAGGTGACAAGTAAAAAGACAATCATGCTACAACATTATCAGCATTTTAACTCCATAAAATGATATATTTAAACACTAGGGTATGACTGTTTTCAAGGAACCTAGGACTGAGAGTCACTTTTTACCCCCTGCCGTTAGCCTTGCCCATGTGGCTGGGTGTTGGCTCACTAACACCACCAGCCCGTCAGCCACTCAAGCACTCTCTGGGCTATGCCAGTCGTGTCTTCGCTTTTCAGGGTAACAGTATGTGCACTCCAGTCTGAATCTCTTTGAAGCATTCCCCTGTGATATCCAGCCAGACACTGGCTACTCACAGAAGTCCCAAATTCTCTGCCCCCATGTCACCGGGGCCACTGCTGCCCCTCTTTTCAAACATGCACTGCTACACCCAGTCCCAGTCAAGGAGGTTTATTCTTCTATAACAAAGGTTAACAAAGACACAGAAGGCAGTCTTAAGTCAGTGCCTGGCCCCCAGGTTTCAGGGCCACCCTTCCCAGGGCTCTATGGCTCTCTGGCTCTCCAGTTCCTGGCAGCATCTTTTCCTCCTCCAGTTCTGCTCCCGTCTTGGAGCCACAACCATGGGGTTGCTTCCTTGAGCTCCAGTGACCCACCAGAGGAGTTAGCTAGACTCCACTGTAGCCTCTTGACCAGGGAGCAGCCTGCTTCAGTTCTTCCTCCCCTCAGCTGCCTACTACTTTAGAGGCCCAGGTGTAGCCCAGCTGTCTTTAATTAGCTGGATTAGGCTCACCAGCTCCAGGGAACCTGGGCTCATCTATCCACAGGCACCAGCTACCCTGTGACACCCCAAAGTAGCAGTGTACCCCAATTTACTAGTTTTACCTTAAATCACTTCTCTTGTATAACACACAGCATTTGTGGGCACTTGTAATAAAACAAAAGTACGTTTATTTAAGAAAGAATAAAGATGCAAGTAGAAACAAGAGAGAGTGGTGGAAACAAATAATTACAATATAAAACAAACTCCTAAAACGCAAACTAGGGCATAGGCTTATTAATTGTTACCTTTCGATCGAATGAAGTAGGTTTTCCTCCCCAGAGTTCAGTCTGTTGCAATGCTGGCTGGTTTTACAGGAACCAGGATACAAAGTTTCATGAGAATATCCCTGCTCCATAGTATGTTTCCTCAGTGAATGGTCCAGAATGCCTCTCCCCATTCTGCTATACTGAAACAATCTATTGTCTCTAGTCATAGGCCTGGTCTACACTGGTGGGGGAATGGATCTAAGATACGCAACTTCAGCTACGAGAATAGCGTAGCTGAAGTCGACTTATCTTAGATCGATTTAGAATCACTTATTTCATGTCCTCGCGGTGCGGGATTGATGGCCACCGCTCCCCCATTGACTCCGCTTCCGCCTCTCACCGTGGTGGAGTTCCGGAGTTGACGGCAGAGCGATTGGGGATCGATTTATCGTGTCTACACTAGATGCGATAAATCGATCCCTGATAGATCGATCACTACCCACCAATCCGGCGAGTGGTGTAGACATGGCCATAGACAGGGCAATCCCTTTCCTGTTGTAAAGTTCCTTTTTGCCTCCAAATAGTTTGATTGTTTGCAGTTGTCTCTGATAGTTTTTCATTGATAGTCCAGGAATGGAGCAAGGGTAGACCACTGAGCCTTGCCTTATATCACAGGTTAACCAGGGAGGGGTTACTCCCTATTCCATCCTGCTTGAATCTGCCATTTGCTGAGACATAACCTCTGGTGACCAACTTTTACTCCAACGTCATAAAGCATATGTTCAATATAGTTACATTATTCCTTAAGGATTACCCTGCACATACATCTCACACTGTCTGACTCTTGATAAGTTATAAGCTTTCTGTAGGTACTTTACATGTTAACCTTTATGGATAAATGCCCTCCAAGATGAGTTTGTGTCGTGAGTTTTTCAGGTCTGAGACAAGAGTTGTTTGCAAAAAAAACAGGATCCTTTGCCAAGGGGTCTCTGTGTCACAAACGGTATTATTAAATATTTGTATTTTGGCAAAGTACAGAGACCCTGATCAGAACTGGGGCACTGTTGTGATAGATGCTGCTGTAAAAATATTGGGCTAAGGCACTATCTCTCTCTCTGCTTGTGTAACATCTATCCCAACAGGGCCCCTATCCTGACTGTGGCTTTGTGTGGTACAACAAGATAATGGTACAATTATTATTTTACATTAGTTAATAATACTGTTGTGAGGTTCAAATAGAACATTTTTAGGGCAAAACCACTGTTAATGCCGTTTTATCTTGTTCTGAAATTGTTAGTAATGCACAGTGAACCCATGTTTAAAAATGCTCAAAATTAAAAGGAAATTTTGAAACAAAAAGTCACCTTGAATTGAAAAATTGTTGAAATGAAACTCATGATTTTTTTTCTGAATTTGTTTTTAAGTTTCTTTTCCAACCAAAACAATTCTACAAAACCGACACAAATTCATGAAATATTAGTATCACCAAAACTTCCAGTTTTTGCTGAAAAAAGTTTGGGTTGAAATATTTTGCCCAGCTTTACCTGGAACCTTTTATTGACACTAAAACTTTGGGTTCAGTCCTTCTCTCACAGAAATGGCTTAGTATGACACGGAGGCTGATTGGTGCCAACTGGCAAAGAGTTCACTGCAACTCCTAACAGGCCTGACATACTCTCTACCCTAGATGTGGGCAAACTTTTTGGCCTGAGGGCCACATCTGGGTATGGAAATTGTATAGCGGGCCATGAATGCTCACGAAATTGGGGTTGGGGTGCAGGAGGGTGAGGGTGAGGTCTCTGGCTGGGGGTGTGAGCTCTGGGATGGGGCCAGAAATGAGTTCAGGGTGCAGGCTGGGGCAGAGGGTTGGGGTGGGGGGGGTGAGGGCTCTGGCTGGGGGTGCGGGCTCTGGGGAGGGGCTGGGGATGAGGGGTTTGGGGTGCAAGAGGGTGCTCTGGGCTGGAATTGAGGGGTTCGCAGGGTGGGAGGGGCTCATGGGTGCAGACTTCGGGCGGCACTTACCTCAAGCAACTCCCGGAAGCAGTGGCATGTCCCCTCTCCGGCTCCTACATGGAGGCATGGCCAGGCGGCTCTGCCCTGTCGCAGGCACCTCCTCTTCAGCTCCCATTGGCCACAGTTCCCAGCCAATGGGAGCTGCAAGGGCACCGTGCAGAGCCCCTTGGCTGTCCCTACACATAGGAGCTGGAGCGGGGACATACTGCTGCTTTTGGGAGCAGCACGGAGCCACAGCACGTACACGTGGAGTGGCCCCCCGGCCCCATCCCTGCTCCCTGGCGGAAGCGTGGGAGCGGGACAAGCCCCAGACCCTGCTCCCCAGCGGGAGCTTGAGGGCCAAATTAAATTGGCTGGCGGGCCAGATACCGTGGGCCATAGTTTAGCAACCCGTGCTCTACACCTAGCACACTGGTTTCATGATATTTATTCACAAATGATGTCATGTAAGATCTTTAATAAAAGTTTATGCCATACTTCCTGATCATCATAATCAGAGCAAGTTATATGCATGGATGATATGCAAGGAGTTGTGTATGTGTATTGAAGATATGTTTTAAAGTCTGTGTCCAAGGCAGAGCTGATAAACGGGTTTTGGGTAAGAAAAAGGACGTTGATTCACATGTCTCTCTGTCAGCCATGTAATAAGCATTGCAAGCCAACACAATGGAAACTCCATCTACATATATAGTCAACTGTAAAGGAGCACTCAGGAAAAACAAGCTTCAGAGGCTAGTGTGGCCATGTGCAAAGACAGTGAACTTGGGGATATAGTTAGAGGGCAAGGAGACACCCCTTTATTTTGGACTGAGGAAAGGAAACAGACAGCATATTTATATTCATGAAAATGGGATCCCAACCAGCCATGGTTGGAAGCACTGCAAAGGACATTTGGGGTGAGATAAGCTTCTTTAGACAGATGGTTAGCCTATTAATGGTTACATTTAGTCTCTTGGAATTGTACTATGATTTTGTTTTATTTGCAACCCTTCTGTTTCCATTATCCTTACTCACTGTCTCTCAAATCTTAATCTTTGATATTAAACTTACTGTTGTTTTCACTATAAACATCTCTCAGTGCTGTAATGTTATGTGTGAACTGACCCTGAGCGGAATCAAACAAGCTGGCTATTCCTTTGGGCACAGTATACCTGATATTACTGTGAGCGTTCGGTGGATAAGAGACTGAACGCTGCAGGGGGATGCTTAAAAGAGGCGTGGGGACTGGGGTACACCTGTTGCTCATCTGCAAGGGAAAGTAAGGGCTGGCATAGCCCTGAGGAGATTGTCTGGGAGCTGACACCCCATTAACCACCAGCACCCTCTCTTGTGCTGGAGGCTGAGGATAACAAGGTGATTCACAGTCCTGGGCACCTTGGCAACAGTCACACTTAGATATAATGGAACCTTCATGTGAATCAACCAACCCTGGCTTTGATGTGGCTTCCTTGGTGCATCTCTTGTTTCTTCTCTTTTGTCAGGGAGTTGTATCTATGCTGCTTAGTTTAAACTGAACCACAAGGTGCTAATAAATGATGCCGTACACAGTGAAATCACTTTGTATTAATCTTAACATTTTCTGGCTTGTTTCAGACAAAAAAGACCTAGGCATCCGCTGGTCCTTGAAGCACTGCAAGCCTTCTGTGCTCTACGGGCTGTGAAGGCTGTCCCCTTTGTGAGTCTCTGTGGAATGGCTGATTAGGCCTATGATGGATTCGTAGATTCCAAAGCTAGAAGGGGCTATTCTGTTAATCTATTCTGGACTCCTGTATAATAAAGGCCATAGAACTTCCCCAGAATAATTCCTAGAGCACATCTTTATTTAAAACAGTAACAGAGAATCCACCATGTCCCTTGGTAAATTGTTCTAATGGCTAATTACCCTCACTGTTAAAAATGTATGCCATATTTCCAGTCTGAATTTGTGTAGCTTCAACTTCCAGCCATTGGATCATGTTATAGCTTTCTTAGCTAGTTTAAAGAGCCCATTATTGAATATTTGTTCCCCTTGTAAGTACTTAAATTGTGATCAAATTACCTATTAATCGTCTCTTTAACTTAAATAAATGGAGTTCATGGAATTAATCACTATAATGCATGTTTTCCAATCTTTTAATCATTTTCATGTCTCTTTTCTGAACTCTCTCCAATTTATCAACCTCCTTCTTAAATTGTGGAAACCATAACTGGACACCGTATTCCAGCAGTGGTTGAACCAGTGCCAAATACAGAGGTAAAATAACCTCGCTACTCCTGTGTGTTTATGCATCCAAGGATTGTATTAGCCCTTTAGGCCACAGAATTGCACTAGGAGCTCATGTTCAACTGATTATCCATCATGACTGTGACAGGTTAGATCACAGAAACCCCCTTGGGGCTGCCAACTGATGTGCCAAGACTACTTCTGCCCCTGCTTTCCCTGCCAGCTTGGGACTCCAGCACGCTGTCTTGTTGAGCTAGGTACGCCAGTCTGTTCCAACACAAACCCAGGGTCTGAACCACGTGCCCCAAAGCTTCAGACTTAATTGAAAGCAGCTTAAGAAGTGTTCTTCTCTTTATCACTCAGATGCTCAACTCCCAATGGGGTCCAAACCCCCAAATAAATCTGTTTTACCCTGTATAAAGCTTATACAGGGTAAACTCATAAATTGTTCGCCCTCTATAACACTGATAGAGAGATATGCACAGCTGTTTGCCCCCCCAGGTATTAATACATACTCTGGGTTAATTAATAAGTAAAAATTGATTTTATTAAATACAGAAAGTAGGATTTAAGTGGTTTCAAGTAGTAACAGACAGAACAAAGTGAATTACCAAGCAAAATAAAATAAAACACGGAAGTCTAAGTCTAGTACATTAATAAAACTGAATACAGATAAAATCTCACCCTCAGAGATGTTTCAATAAGTTTCTTTCACAGACTGGATGCCTTCCTAGTCTGGGCACAATCCTTTCCCCTGGTACAGCCCTTGTTCCAGCTCAGGTGGTAGCGAGGGGATTTCTCATGATGGCTGCTCCCTTTGTTCTGTTCCACCCACTTATATATCTTTTGCATAAGGCAGGAATCCTTTGTCCCTCTGGGTTCCCACCCCTCCTTCTCAATGGAAAAGCACCAGGTTAAAGATGGATTCCAGTTCAGGTGACATGATCACATGTCACTGTAAGACTTCATTATCCACTTGCGTATCCACGTATACAGGAAGACTTACAAGTAAAACAGAGCTATCTACAGACAATTGTCTGGGTTAATGGGAGCCATCAAGATTCCAAACAACCATTAATGGGTTACACTTTGCATTATTACAATAGGCCCCCGGAGTTATATTTCATATTTCTAGTTTCAGATACAAGAATGATACATTCATACAAATAAGATGAACACACTCAGTAATTATAAGCTTTGTAATGATACCTTACAAGAGACCTTTTGCATGAAGCATATTCCAGTTATATTATATTCACCCTTATTAGCATATTTTTAAAAAATCACATCGAGTTCAACATCACAAGGACCCCCGTATCTTTTTCAGAGTCATTGCTTCCCAGGATAGAATCTCCCATTCTGCAAGTATGGCTTATATTCATTGTTCCTACATGTATATGTTTACATTTAGCTGTATTGAAACACACATTGTTTGCTTGCACCCAGTTTACACAGCAATCCAGATCACTCTGTACCTGTCCTCTTCATTATATACCATTCTTCTATTTTTTGTGTCATCTGCAAACTTTATCAGTGATTATTTTGTTTTTTTCCAGGTCGTTGAATGAAAATGTTGAATAACATATGGCCAAGAACCAATCTGTGAATAACTCCACTGGAAACAGACCTGCTTAATGATGATTCTCCATTTAGAATGACATTTTGAGACCTATCAGCATGTACTATCTGCCATGATAATTTTATATCATTCTAGTTTTTTAATCAAAATGTCATGTGGTACCAAGTGTAAGTATATTACATCAGTACTATTACCTTTACCAAACACACTTGTAATCTCAAACTTGTAGCTCTCTGCCCACTGCTGGGGGCATTGGTGCCCTGACACAGCCCTGCTTATGTCGAGCTACCACCAAGTGCTAAAAACACACTGAAAGTAGCTGTCTTTGGTAAAAATGTTCAACACAATTACACTCCAACATATCTCAGAGTGAAACTCGATCGCACTTTCACCTTCCATGATCACCTTGAGAAGGTAGCCTTAAAGAAAAACGAGAGCCGACATAATCCAGAAACTAGCAGGTACAACCTGGGGTGTGTCGGCATTAGTGTTGCGAACATCTGCAATAGCACTTTATACATTCAGTAGCTGAATATTGTGCACCAGTATGGAGCAGATGCAGCCACATGTGACTTGTTAACACCCAGCTGAATACAGTAGTGTGGTGCATCACGGGAACCCTTAAGTTGACTCCAAAACCATGGCTAGCTACTCTGTCTAACATTGCTCCCCCGCCGATACAACGAACTGCTGCAACGTTCCGCGAAGCTCAGCAAATCCAGGAAAACAGATGTCGTCTTATCCACCAAGACCTTAACAACGCCCCCGCCCCCACAACGTCTTAAGTACCACAAGCCTTTCTGGGAACATTCGCTTAGCCTCATGCAATCAGGCTACGATCAGAAGGAGGTTTGGAAAGCAGATTGGGCTAAACGTCACTTAAAAAATAAACACCTGGTGGTGGATCTCATGCAGAGGGTCATCTTGGTCAACTCTGAACTGAATCCAAACCAACCATGGCAGATGCAGACATCTAATGCACATATGGAAAATCAAGGACTCCCCTACGTGTGAGTGTGGCTTCCCATGACAGACCATCGAACATATCACCACCTACTGCCTAATTTATAAATATGAAGGTGGCATTACTGCAATAAATTCTGCTGCTCTGATATAGCCATTTGGCTTGATCAACTTCAGGTGAAATTGTAGGTGCTGCTTCATGGGCGACATGTGAACTGCCGGCTGAGGGAGGTTAGCCCCCAGTCCTGCCCCTTCACCCCTCCCCCACCAACCCCTACCCCAGGCTAGCACCCTCAGCCCCAGAGCGCCAGGAGGGCGGGGGTGGTGTGGCCCCAGCGCCGGGAGGGAGGGAGAGTGGGTGGCCCAGCCCAAGCGCAGCCCCTAGCCCCCCTAGCTCCAGAGTGCCGGGAGGGCGGGCAGCACTGCCCCAGCCCCGGAGTGCTGGGTGAGTGGTGCAGCCCCAGTGTCAGCCTGAGTTCTAGCTGCCGCCATGGTGACAGCACCGGGACAGGGGAACTGGCAGGAGGAGGTCTGGGGGCAGAGCATGGACGGGGTCATGCCTGGGTGTTTGGGGAGGCACAGCCTCCCCCAGCCTATGATACCCACCACCCATGTGCTGCTTTACGCCAGCCATATGAAAGAAGAAGACAACCAGCAAGACTTAGGCCATGTCTACACTACAAACTTTGGTCAAAGCAAGTTATGTTGGCGTAAAGATGCCATGGTTAATATATCGCTTATGTCTGTGCATACTTGACTCCTTGTGTTGGGTGCTGTGCGTACTCACAAGGAGTGCTTGTGTCGATGCGCAATGCAGTGCACTATGGGTAGGTATTCCAATGTGCAGCTCACAATTGTCTGGTGCACTGTCTTTTGGGAAATTTTGGCAGTTCATAGTGGGGCAGAAGTGAGTCACACAAGGGTGACTGGGATCAAGGGGTCAAGTTCCCAGCATGCAGCTTTCTCCATCCCATAGTGCCATCCATATCCCTTTATTTTTGTATCTTTTTAAAAAATCCCACAAACCTGTGTGTCACTTCTTGCTGCCTGCCATCTCTGACAGAAGCATGGAACTCACACAGCTCTGCACTATTGTTATGAGTGTTGCAAACACAGGATGGATGATCTGGTATTTGCAGAGCTGCAAGAAGAACCCTAGCAGTGGTGGACATGATGATTTTATGGAGGACAGATTGCTGTGGGACATAGTAAGACCTAAGGATGTTCATGGAACAGCTGCAGACAGTGGACTGCCACCTCAGGCCCTGAGAAACAAGCACTGACTAGTGCGATCGCATCACAACGCAGGTTCGGAACGATGTGAAAGGCCACATTCCTATGTCTGTGTAGCAAACTCAACTCAGTCTTCCAGTGCAGGGACTCTAGAATGAGAGCTTCACTGACAGTGGAGAAGCAAGTAATGATTGCATTGTAGAAGCTTGCAATGCCAGATTACTACTAGTCAGTAGGAAATCATTATGGAATTGGAAAATCCACAGTTGGGACCATTGTCGTGCAAGTGTTCAGGGCCATTAGCCATCTGCTACACAGGACTGTGACACTCGGTAATGTGCAGGACATGGGGATAGATTTGCAGCAATGGAGTTCCCAAACTACAGTGGAGCAATAGATGGCATGCATTTCCCTGTTTTGGAATTGTGTGGCCCACAACCCATCAATAGGAAAGGCTACTTTTCGATGGTGTTGAAAGCATTGATGGATCATCGGGGACACTTCACTGACATCAGTGGTTGGCTGGTCAAGGAAGGTACATATGACGCTTGCATTATTAAGAACATAGGACTGTTCAGAAAGCTGCAAGCAGGAACATTCTTTCCTGACAGTTGAATTATCATTGGTGATGTTGAAATGCCACTAGTGACCCTGGGGGACCCAGCCTACTCCTTGCTCTCCTGGCTTATGAAGCTGAATACTAGCCAGCTCAACAGTACCAAGGAAAGATTTAACTACCAGCTCACCAGGTGCAGAATGACAGCTGAATGTGCTTTTGGTAGATTGAAGAGAAGCTGGCATTGGTGATCACCAGATTGGATCTCTGTGAGAAAAATGTCTCAATGGTTATAGCTGCCAGTTGTGCTCTGCATAATATCTGTGAAGCAGATGTTGCAGCGACATGGAGAGCTGAGGTTTGAACAGCCAGACCAGACCAAAGGGGTATTAGTAGAGCTCAACACAGAGCTGTGTGGTTGAAGGAGACCTTGAAAGAGCATGTCACTGTCTGTATTTAGTCACAGTGATGTGGTGGGCTGTGCCCTAAAGTTTTGGGGGGTTGTTAGGAATTGTGTGGTGCTTGCTGTCTGTTAATACAGCTATTGATTGTGTGGTGCCTCCAGTACGTGTATAATAATTACCCTGCATTTGTCACTGATCCTATGAGCTCTGTCGCCCTGGACAATAACAAGCAGTGGGCCCTTTCAGTAGTGCTTGGCATTCTGAAGCATATGATGTTATAAAGATTAATTATTTTCCCCTAAAAAAAGGATTTTTATTGCATACCAAAACCAGGGCAAAAAACCCCTGTGTAATTAAAAAACAAAAATAAAGTAATGGAACAGAACTTAGCAAGGGGAAAGAATGTTCATGTCCATTTTGGCTACACCTACACCAGCTATGGTTCTTGCAGGTCCATGGGGCCAGGATTTTCACCTTAGGACTCTAACCAGCTGTATATGGTCACTTGAAAGGAATAACACTGGGAAATGGCTTGTCAATGCTGGGAGAAATTCAAAGTGGGAATCTCCTTTCTGACCTTCCCCACAATTTGGTCACTTGGTGTGGCATTTTCCTCTGCATCCTCTTCCACCTCATTTGCTCTCCATCTATTTTTAAGTCTAATCTAAAAACATCCTTTCTCCTCTTGCTTTCTCTCTCCCTACTTTTGTTCTTTGTTTTATTTTTGCAACTAAGTTATTTATTTAACTTGGTAAAGCATGCTGGGATACAGCCCTCTTTGTTAAAGATTCAACATGCTGCCTCCTTTAGCTAATGGCTGAGAAAGTTCCCAATCTACTTCTCTGTAGGCCTGATCTTGCACCATCGATCTCATTGGATTTTTACCATTGACTTCAGCAGGAGCAGAATCAAAACCCTAGGTTCTGCAAGGGAGAGCTCCAGCAAAAACAGAAAAGACAATATTTGACATTTATATTGTATCTAAAGTAAAAATATGCCATTAAAGCAAGAAACAACCTTCTTTTATACTGATACATTTTAAATAAGTAAACAAGGACAAACCCATTTCCCTCCCCTCTTTTGCAGGTGATTTTTAAAGTAAGAGGGAAGAGTTATAATTTCACCAGGACTTTATTCAAGTAATCTGATAATAGCTCCTTAGAGAGTCCAGAATCAAGCAAACAAAACCACCAAAGAAATATTTTATGTAAAAAATGAAAAGAAATTGTTTGGCATTTTTTATGCTAGGATAAACAATCTCTTCTTTAATATCTTCCCTCTTTCATGTTATATTAGAGGGTACTAGTCTACAGAACAGCAAACAGCAAGCCAGTAGTACAGATAATGAAAATTTAAATTATATGTTCCATTATTTTCCATTATGTTCATTCTAATTATGCTGTTATAATGAGCTGACACAAAGTGGCAAAGGAACAATCAGAATTCTGCAAATGACAATAAAACTGTGAAGCAGCAGTTTCTTAGCAACAAACTGGAAACTGTGTTAAGTAGTAGTTTTATTTTTATCGAGACGTGTGTGTACTAGCTTCCAGGTATTTTTCTAATATATATGCAGATATTTCTATATGTTGTTTTCTTCTAGTTTAACATACCTAATATCTATTTTATTCTGTTGTATGGAATGGAACGAGAAAACCCTAAGGGCTCAAATCTGCTCCCATTCATAGATTCCACGGCCAGAAGGGACCACTGTGGTCATCAAATCTGACCTCCTGTATAACACAGGCCATAGAACTTCCCCAAAATAATTCCTAAAGCATCATTTTTAGAAAACCATCCAATCTTGATTTAAAAATTTGTGTCAAAAGATAGAGTGAATGGCGATGTGGTGACTGGGAGAGGTGGCTCAGGACAAAAGGTCAAGAAAGGAGACAAGGGGAAGGGGGTGAGGCTTAATGAGAACATTAAAGCAAAAGTCAGACAATGAGGAAGGTGGATTGTGTGAAGACAGAGAGACCGGTGTCAAAAATCAGAGGAGGGAGGCTGAGAAAAAGTCAGGGAGAGTTAGGTGGCAGAAGACAGCTGTCACAGGTGTGGCTGTGGTTACAGTCATGCTGAGGTTACAATCACAAAGGATATGAACAAAACAAAGGAAATTCATAAACGGACATAGACAAATTCCCCAAATTGTCACTAGAGTGTGGAATGGGGAGTCTCATGTCGTGTGTCTTGGAGGAAGAGAATGACTGGAAAGGGTGAGGAACTGGAAGCAACAGGGGTAGGAAAGAAGTGCGAAGCCTCCCTGCAGTCCTGTAGGGACAATTCAAGGTGGAGGAGTGAGAGAAGGTCAGACCATTAAGGGAGAAAGTGACTGCAGAGTGAATGTCAGATTGGGAAATGCTGTTTTGTTTTGTTTTGTTTTTTGTTTTTAAATTAGAGGTTTTGGAACAAAATGTGCAAGCTTCACTGTTATATCTGGCAAGTGTACAGAATTTTCATTCAGAATAACAAAATAAGTATGGCCCTACTGTGTCAGACCAAAGGTCCATCTAGCCCAGTATTCTGTCTTCCGACAGTGGCCAATACCAGGTGCCCCAGAGGGAATGAACAGAACAGGTAATCATCAAGTGATCCATTCCCTGTTGCCCATTCCCAGCTTCTGGCAAACAGAGGCTAGGGATATCATCCTTGCCCATCCTGGCTAATAGCCATGGATGGACCTATCCTCCATAAATTTATCTGGTTCTTTTTTGAACCCTGTTATAGTCTTGGCCTTCACAACATCCTCTGGCAAAGAGTTCCACAGGGTTGACTGTGCATTGTGTGATGCAATACTTCCTTTTTTATGTTTTAAACCTGCTGCCTATTGTGGGGGAAATTGCTGTTAACCTTGCTGTTGAAACTGACCCCATCCCATTCTGCAGCAAAATCTGTGCACTATATGCAACGTATGCAAAAGCTATAATACAAGAGGCCTACATGCCTGTATCCTGTAAGACTTGGCTTAAGCTAAAGCATTTACGTATGCTAGGCTGTGGCACTTGACCCGGATAATGGACTAGGCCAATCTTTAACTAGCAAAGAACCAAAAGGGCCTCTGGAAGAGTCCCTAGCTGTCCATTATATGCACCCTCCACCCTGCAAAAGTCCCTAGCCAAAACGCTGCCACAGCAAACCACAGATCTTGATAAGATCTTGATAATAACACGGTGCCCTTCCATTAATTCCTAATAAGGCTTTATTAATAATGCTTGAGTGGTAAGGAAATGTATCATTTGGCTTGAATTTGGACCTATATAAGTTTGGTATTATAGGGGCAGGGCAGAGAGAGACCAGGGTGGCACCTGCCTGTGGCCATCTCTGTCTCCTCTCTGCATGCTTGTATTCAATAAAGGACCTCAGACTCTTTGAACCAAACAGATGGTGTGACTCTTTTCCCACAACACTATTAATTTCATTTGGTGATCCCTAGTTTGTGTGTTATGAGAAGGGGTAAATAACACTTCCTTATTTACTTTCTCCACACGAGTCATGATTTTATAGATCTCTATCATATCCCCCCTTATTCGTCTCTTTTCCAAGATGAAAAGTCCCAGTCTTATTAATTCTCCTCATATGGAAGCCGTTCCATACCCCTAATCATTTTTGTTGCTCTTTTCTGAACCTTTTCCAATTCCAATATATCTTTTTTGAGATGGGACAATCACATCTGCAGAGAATATTCAGGATGTGGGCATACCGTGGATTTATATAGGGGCAATATGATATTTTCTGTCTTATTATCTATCCCATTATCTATCCCTTTCTTAATGATTCCCAACATTCTGTTAGCTATTTTGACTGCCGCTGCACATTGAGTGGATGTTTTCAGAGAACTATCCACAATGACTCCAAGATCTCTTCCTTGAGTGGTAACAGCTAATTTAGGCTCTATCATTTTATACGTATGGTTGGGATTATGTTTTCCAATGTGCATTACATTGTATTTATCAGCGTTGAATTTCATCTGCCATTTTGTTGCTCAGTCACCCAGTTTTGAGAGATCCTTTTGTAGCTCTTCACAGTCTGCCTGGGATTTAACTATTTTGAGATTGAGAGATGTGTATCAGCTGTGGCCAAGCTAAAGCATTCTTAGATGAACATTGTGGCTGGTATTTATTTTACTGTGTTATTTCATTATAAGAAGTTATATTGTACTCTTCTCACCTACTGGACATTCATACAGTCCTGTGAAAAAACTATTCATTCTGAAGTTAATGGGAATTATAGTTGCATAAAGTTTATAGGACTTGGCCTTTAGGACCAGATTTTAAGAGGTATTTAGGCACCTAAAGATGCAGATAAGTGCTTTTGCAAATCTCACTAGATATCTAGGTGCCTCTCTTTGAGACAGGCACCTGTCTGCATCTTTAGGTGCCTTAATGAATTTAAACATCTGGCCCTTAGTGCCTCACAACATTTTATAATAAAAATAAATTGAAAAGTCAACCACATTATACACTTTAAAACTTTGATCTTCAGTTCAGTCTTGAAAACTGGCATTTGAAATGCCAAATATTAAAAGACTGCAAGTTCCAAAAAGGGAATGGTCAGAGGACTCTTTACAACCTGAAATAACTGAAACTTGGCTGTGAAAGAGCTTACAAAAGGATTTTCTTAATTAATTAGGACTGGACTCTGAAGATACTTTTCTAATACTTTATCATCAGCAGAAGCCTGGATGTCAGAATCCTGAAAATTTGGGAACAGAACATTTCATGTAATTTATTTTCTTTCAGTGACTAATTTATGAGCTACATTGCAAAGGGCTTAAATTAGGTGCACCTGTATTATATTTGATGTTATTGATTTTCCTTACTTAAAAGGACCCCATCAAGGAATGTTTCAAAACACCCATTGTTCTTTATTATACTGCCTTGTAACCATGACATTGAAATCTGTATCCCTGTTGGATGTTTTGGTCTTTTGCTGCATGTACACAATAGTTTATTATTTTATTGTTGCTGGTAAGTGCTTGAGTTGTGGGTATTGGGCCAGACTCTCATCTCAGCTACTATGGTGTAAATTTGAAGTCAGTGAAATTATTCTAGATTTTTAGTGGTGTAACTGAGAGAAGAATTTGGTCCATTTATTTTATACAGAGAGCCAAGAAGCACTGTGGGGTTTTTTGTTTGTTTGGTTTTTTTAATAAATTCAGAATTACATACAGAAAAACACACAAGATAAAAAGTAGGTCAGATTTTAAGCAACACGCCTTCACACTTATTTGAACATAAAACACCAATAGATTCTTGGGAATTATTGTCAAACTTTTCTTATATTAAACAAAATCTAGCAGATTGTATCTTTGTTTTCAAAGTAATAGTAAAGTATTATCATCCATTCAATTGTTGGTAGGTAGACCTTTGTGCAGTATTTTAAAAAATGTTTTTCATTCCTATCGCCATTGGCTGTTTGGATCATATGAATTCTTTATAATTGTGAAGACAGTTACGCTGAAGTCAATGGGACTAATCAGTTTAGCAAGTATTGCTCCCAGTAGTAAGTGTATGCAGAATCTTGCCCTCGATACATATCCTATCCCTATCAACTGTATATAAAACACATTTTATCATATGAAAATAATTTTTAAAAGACATTTTTCTGTAACTGAGACTGATAGACTTTAAGGCCAAAAGGGACCATCATGATCCTCTAGTCTGACCTGCATATTGCAGGTCACAAAACCTCACACACTCACACCTGCAATAGGACCACAACCTCCAGCTGAGTTCCTGATGTCTTCAAATCTTAATTTAAAGACTTTAAGTTAAAGCGAATGCAGCATTTACTTTAGTTTAAATCAGCAAGTGACCCAGGCCCCATGCTGTAGAGCAGGGATCGGCAACCTTTGGCACACAGCCCATCAGGGAAATCTGCTGGCAGGCTGTGATAGTTTGTTTACCTGCAGCGTCCGCAGGTTCTGCCGATTGCAGCTCCCGCTGGCTGCGGTTCACCGTTCCAGGCCAATGGGGGCTGCACGAAGAGGCGGCCAGCACATCCCTCAGCCCACACCGCTTCCCGCAGCCCCCATTGGCTTGGAACGGCGAACCGCAGCCAGTGGGAGCTGCGATCAGCTGAACCTACAGACGCTGCAGGTAAACAAACAGTCCCGGCCCACCAGTGGATTTCCCTGTTGGGCTGCGTGCCAAAGGTTGCTGATCCTTGCTGTAAAGGAAGGCAAAACCCGCCCAGGGTCTCTGCCAATTTGACCTGGGCAGGGGTGAAAGTAAAATTGAATCTTACTGGTACGTGGGCTGGCTCCACCCCACACCCCAGAAGGGGCGGGGCCTCAGCTGGAAGGGGCTAGACTGGGGGGAATCAGCATCCCCCAGCCAGCCCATCCACGCTGCCTGGCCCACGCCACCCAGGGCGCCAGCAGTGATTTAAAGGGCCTGGGGCATTAGCTGCTGCTGCGGTAGTGGCAGCCATAGCCCTGGGCCCTTTTAAATTGCCAGCCCTGGAGCAGCTGCTCCTTTTGCCCACCCCCGTCGGCGGCCAAGGTGGGGCAAAAGGGCCGTGGCAGTGCTGTAAGGA